GGTTCTGACAGGTTCTCACAGGTTCTGACAGGTTCTGACAGGTTCTGACAGGTTCTGACAGGTTCTCACAGGTTCTGATAGGTTCTGACAGGTTCTCACAGGTTCTGATAGGTTCTCACAGGTTCTCACAGGTAGATAAAGTTCTGACAGGTTCTCACATGTTCTGACAGGTTCTCACAGGTTCTGACAGGTTCTCACAGGTTCTGACAGGTTTTCACAGGTTCTCACAGGTAGATAAAGTTCTGACAGGTTCTCACAGGTTCTCACGGGTTCTCACATGTTCTGACAGGTTCTCACAGGTTCTGACAGGTTCTCACAGGTTCTCACAGGTAGATAAAGTTCTGACAGGTTCTCACATGTTCTGACAGGTTCTCACATGTTCTGACAGGTTCTCACAGGTTCTGACAGGTTCTCACAGGTTCTCACAGGTAGATAAAGTTCTGACAGGTTCTCACAGGTTCTCACGGGTAGATAAAGTTCTGACAGGTTCTCACAGGTTCTGACAGGTTCTCACAGGTTCTGACAGGTTCTCACAGGTTCTGGCTGTTGGAGCCAGTCGGGCCTGTGTTCTGATGATGAACCCAAATGTTTTGTTGAACTGATGACTTCAGTTCTTCTTGATGTCTGAACTCTTCCTGTCTCCATGCAGAACGTCTTCCAGCCCAGTTCCAGGTCGGTTCAGTCCGAGTGTTTCTCGGTGCTGGTCCATGTGGACCCAGTTGGTTTTGAACTCCATGCTGACATTAAAACTGCTTCTGTTTCTGTTTTTACATTGTAGAACAAAACTAAAAGTCAGATTTGATCTTGTTTCTGTTTCCTCTCAGCTGGGAAATAAACTCTGGAGGTTCTGAGGACTGGAACCACCCAGAACCATGAACCGGGTCTGTCATTTACATCAAATTAGTTTTAATATTATTCATTTGATTAAAGAGGAGCTCATCTGTTTGGTTGTTTGAACAGTTTAGATTAAAGGACGATCTGCTTGTTGGAGGAGAACTCACTGAAAGAACTTTATTCTGAAACTACTTCCTGTCTGAAACAGGAGGTGAATGAATTGTGGGTAATGTATTTCTTTAGCAGCTCTGTAGACTCCAAGCAATAATTTCTGTTTGTTGTGATTCTTTGGTTTCTGTTTGTGTGAAAATCTTGAATTATTTCTTTTTTGGGGCAATAATGTGTTTTTATTTATCTTTGCCTGCAGCTGTAAAATAAGCAGTTTTTATATTTTCAAGATAAAAGTTTCATTTTTTATGAGTTAAAATAAACGATGCCTTCAGTGTTCACTGGTATTATTTACATCTGCTGTTCTTTCAGCTGGTTCTACACACTGTCATCTGTGTCCACTGTCCTCTGTGTCCACTGTCCTCTGTGTCCACTGTCCTCTGTGTCCACTGTCCTCTGTGTCCA